TAAAGGGGATCGACAATAATACGAAAAAAACCGCTCCTGAGAATGTAGTTTATGCGTATAATATCTGTTTTAGATACACAGTTAGGACACCTATTAATTACTGGGCGCTGGAAACAAAAATGGTCGCGTTCTCCTCTTCACAAGAGCGGTGTCGGAGGAGTGGGAGAGCAGACGGTGGACGGAATAAGGTGCAGCCACATAGGAGCGAACAATATTGAAAGGGCGAAATAGTTGGCGGCCAGGGTAAGTTGTAGATGGGGTTGGCTTGCAAATAGGGAACGTACACGACGCAAGGCGACAACAAAGGAAAACAGGACAGAATGGATTTATTGATTAGCGTTTCGGTCGCGGCAACTTCGGTCAGTAGTCACGTAAGGGTAGTGAATGTTTTTATCGGGAGGTGGCAGGAAGCTTCTCCGACAAATTGGCGAGATCCGCTACAGTTGGCTAGCAGAGTTTTCTCCGACCAGGTATCTCCCACCAGCGGGGAACCTCCCCAGACACGCTCTAAGGACCAACTCTAAGCTCCCAACCAGTCTCCCTTCATGACGGGTAGTGTATTCCAAATAAGTATTAGGAGCGCGTAAGTGAAGGGCGAGTATAGGTCAGGGGTTTTCAAACTGTGCGTCGCGGCTCCCAGAGGCGCCAGGACCATTTGGAGGGGGCGTCGCAGTGATTTATTAAAAATGATCTTTAGATTTGATTTACATTAATCCTTGTCTTATTTACATCTACAAAATAATCCTGTACCATCATAGTATATGTTATTTGTAATATATATGATTTATTAATTAATTAAGAATTAATGAAACCCGGCAAATCCTTCACCAATAAGCTTCTATGGCCCCTTGAGCATTGACATACATCCCTAGCGCGCGTCGGGGATATTTAATTTTTGTTCCGATGCAGATCACTCTTAATTCCCGTGCCCACGCGAGCTGTGACCACCCTGTGTTTGGTTGAGGTTTAAATAGATCGTCGAAATAGAAATGAGAGTTGCAGTTTCAAATACTGAACCCAGATTTGAACAATTGTTTACGAAAAAGCACGCTCATCCTTCCCTTTAATATTAAAAGAGGAATTTGTCATTAAAAATTAAGTTAAATAAAATGTGTTACGGGTTACTGTAATACCAAATTAAAATGGAGAAAGAAAATAGAAATAAAATGGACAAATATTGTATAACTTACTTGTGTTGAATCTTTACTATACCTATGTTAACTCTTATATTTGAAACTTATTGTTACCAGGGGAGCCGCAGGAGGTTTTGTTTACGTCAAGGGAGCCGTGGACGAAAAAGTTTGAAAACCCCTGGGATTAGACAAGGAAGGAGGAAAGAAGATCGCTTGCGGTCCGTGACCCGTTTGGTAGGTTACTACTCGAGCATTTGTCTGGTGTTGA